TAGGGGGAAGGAGGCAGGATCCGGGTCTGCTTGTTCCAGACGCTTCTCGGCAGCAAGCCGAGGCGAATTCTGGGGTGATCAGTCGTTTTGTTTGGATACGGCTGGTTATCGTTGACTTAGGGTACTTATAAGAACGTATACTTACAGCTAGCTACCCATGAACCTTCAAGTGCACCCTAAACCCCAAACCCTGAACCCTAAACCCCCAACCTACAGGGCTTATAGGGCTTTCGCCTGGCCGCGTTGCATCATCAGACGTGAGACCGGAGCAGGCTTGGGTCGCACGGCTTTGGTACAGAGGACATAATGTGTGGGTTTAGGGTTTCGGGTTTAGGTTTCAGGGTTCAGGGTTTAGGGTTTAGGGATTGCGTAGGCTGAAGAGCGGTTTTGGCAGAAGGCGTGGTTGTTGCAAGGTGGGCGGTGCTTTCAAATTGAGGTTTTGAAGATTCAGTTGGGATCCCCCTATATAAGCCATTCGCCCTTTCAAGGCTTTTTGCCCAAGGGTTTAGGGTTTAGGGTTTAGGGTTTAGGGTTTAGGGTTTAGGGTTTAGGGTTTAGGGTTTAGGGTTTAGGGTTTAGGGTTTAGGGTTTAGGGTTTAGGGTTTAGGGTTTAGGGTTTAGGGTTTAGGGTCCTAAACCCTACCCCTGGCGCTCGCACAGGCTTGTTCGAGGTGGTGTATTGGAACGCAATCTACATTGTAGGGGCCTTGGTCTCTCTCTCTCTCTCTCTCTCTCTCTCTCTCTCTCTCTCGGCATGTAAGGCTTGATTAAGCTTGGACCCGGGTTCGGGTATCATAGAGTTTCGTGTTGAGGGTTGATGGTTTTGGGGGCCTAGCACCACAAGGCCAGGCGGCTTTCCTCTTCAGGGATCCTGGTCCTGGCCCATGACTCACGTGCCCCAAACCCTAAGCCGTGAACCGAAAACCTAAACCCCAAAAGCCCAAAAATCCAAAACACTCTCAAATCCCTTAAGCCTAAACTCTTTTCTAGCGGGGGATCCTAATTACCCCCGAGCCCTCCCCACCCCTCCCCCCAAGGGTTCAAGGTTTTGGGTTTAGGGCTTAGGCTCAAAAACCTTTTCGTTGGGCCCTAGTGTTAGTATGAGACAAATCCCAAACCTAAAGCCCAAAGCCTAAACCCTAAACCCTAAGCCCTCAATCCCAACTCCTTGCATCTTAGACCCTTGAGCCCAAAAATCCTCCAAAACCCCCAAAGGGATCCCCCCCAAGGTTCTGCGTGTGGGGGCCGCGGGCGGCAGAAAAGCCTCCCAGCCTGTAGACCTGCTTCAGCCGGGACACCAAGATGGAGGGTTTAGGGTTTAGGGTTTAGGGTTTAGGGTTTAGGGTTTAGGGATGAGGGTGGACGGATGAGGGGGCATCGAGTTGATCATGGATCTTGGGAGTTTAGGGTGTAGGGATTAGAGTCCATCAAATGTTAAATGGACCTTGGGGTTCGGGTCCCCCTTATTTTATACACCCTATTGCAGCGTCCCTGTTGTAAGTAGTTTCCTCTTTCCTTACTGTGACCCCAGCGTCCATCCAAGTAGGGTTGAGGGCGTGTGGTTTTGTCGGGCTTGGTTTAGTTCTGGGGGCGATTTTGAGATTACGGCATTCGGTTTAGGTTTCCTTCTTAGGAGCTTTGGGCGTAACAAGTTTGGTTGCGGGGGGGGGGGGGGGGGTGGGGCGGGGGGGGGTGGGGGCGGGTGGGGGGTGGGGGCGGGGGGGGGGTGGGGGCGGGGGGGGGGTGGGGGCGGGGGGGGGGGGGGGGTTGGGGGTGGGTGGTGGGGGGGGTGAGGGGGGGGGTGGGGGGGGGGGGGGGGGGGGGGGGGGTGGGGGGGGTGTGGGGGGGGGGGGTGGGCTGTGAGGTTTCTGGATCGTTTTTGCTTTGTCCAAGAGTAGCTGGCTCTGTTTGAAGGGGGCTTGTAAATTAAAAGTCAGAAGGTCATACAAGGGATCCAAGAAATTTCACAAAGAACTGAACGTTAGTCGTGCCAGGCATCTTCGTTTTGTAGCAGCCATGCAGATTATGTGACTTACCCCAATCCCACAACCCGAGACCCCAACCCCCAAAACCTAAACCCTAAACCCTAAACCCTAAACCCTAAACCCTAAACCCTGAACCCTGACGATGCCACGCGCCGCCCTCAGGGTCACCGGCACTTTGGCAGCTCGGGGCCTGGCACAGGCGATCGCGCCCCGAGTTTTTGTTTGGGATTTACGGTTCCTAGGGTTCACCGTTTGGGGTTTAGGGTTTAGGGTTTAGGCTTTAGGTTTTAGGGCTTTAGGGCTTTAGGGCTTTAGGGCTTTAGGGCTTTAAGGCTTTCGGGCTTCAAGGTTTGGAGGTTTCGAGAGTACAGGCGCTGAGGACTGGGGGCACTACAAGAGGGCAAGGGGACCTCGAAAGGGTTTCGGGTGAAGGCTTGAGGGCTTCGACAAGCTCTGACCTGTAAAGTCTAAGCCCTGTAAACCCTAAGTTACGCCCTAAACCCCTAAACCTGACCCTGAACCCTGGACCTCTAGACCCTACACCCTAAACCCCCCCAACCCGGAACCCTAAACCCTGAAAATCCCCAACCCGGAACCCCCAACCCTCAGCCCTGAACCCTAACCTAGCAGGATATGACAGGGGTATGAACTTCAGTGCGCGGTACCTACTAAAGGGGATTCATTCCATTTGGGGTGAACAACGGGTTGAGGATTGAGGGTTCAGGGTTTAACCCTAAACCCTAAACCCTATTTTGGGCAAATACAATTTTAATTTACAGTTTCCATCGGGCACATACTTCTCGGGTAGCGTAGGGTTTAGGGTTTAGGGTTTAGGGTTTAGGGTTTAGGGTTTAGGGTTTAGGGTTTAGGGTTTAGGGTTTAGGGTTTAGGGTTTAGGGTTTAGGGTTTAGGGTTTAGGGTTTAGGGTTTAGGGTTTAGGGTTTAGGGTTTAGGGTTTAGGGTTTAGGGTTTAGGGTTTAGTTTAGGGTTTAGGGTTTAGGGTTTAGGGATAGCTCTGGTAGTGAGGTCCCAAGACCAACAAAGCAAAATCCACGTGGCCCCGCTCTGCTTGGAGGCCGCCTACAGATGGAAAGGTGGCCTGCAGGCGCCACCAGACGGATCGCTCGAATTGAGGGTTTAGGGTTTAGGGGTTTAGGGGTTTAGGGGTTTAGGGGTTTAGAGGTTTAGGGGTTTAGGGGTTTAGGGGTTTAGGGGTTTAGGGGTTTAGGGGTTTAGGGGTTTAGGGTTTTTAGGGATTAGGGCTTCGGGTTTAGGGTTTAGGGTTTACTGTTTGGGGTTTGGGGTTTGGGGTTTAGGGCTTAGGGTTTAGGAGGCTGGGGGGGGGGGGGGGAAGGATGTGGGGCCCTTCCGTACTCGCTTCCCGTGGTTACTATAGGGGTCGGAATGATTACTATAGGGGTTTAGGGCTGAGCTAATAGTATTCCCTTATGTTCCCTTTGTAAGTATACTATAATAACCCGGGGGGGGGGGGGGGGGGGGGGCCTTTAACCAGCTATCGCTTGGGCTCGGGGCTCTACATATTTTTCCCGTTTGTGAACATACACGATCCGCAAGAGAGAAGGCCTCCGAGCATCAGCTGCAACGGGCACTGGAGCTGGCGTCGCGACCCCAGATTGGAAATCCCTAACCGTAGTTTGGGGGCTAGGGCTTAGGTTGGAGCCTTAAACCCTAAGTCCCTAGATCACGAACCTCTAAACCCTTCTGAAGGGTTTCGGGTTGTAAGGTTTAGGGCTTATAGATGCAGGGTTTTGGTTTTTTACTCTGCCCCCCGTGGTTGGGTTGGTTTCGGGATGTGGGTTTAGGGTTCAGGTTTCAGGTTTCAGGGTTTAGGGTGGAGGTGGAAGATTGGAGTTTCCCCTCTGCCCCCTGTCGATCGTGGCGGGTTTACGGTTCAGGGTTTAGGGTTCAGGGTGAAGACGGTTCAGGTTTCGGGTTTCCCCCTTTTGCCCCCTGTGGTCCATGGTGAGTTTAGGATTAAAGGCTCAGGGTTCAGGGTTTCGGGTTGATCGTCTAGGCTTCGGGCTTCCCTCTCCCCTGTGCTTCGGTGGTTTCGGGGTAACAGTCCCTGACCTGCCCCTCCCTCGGAAAAGAAGAGCCCGAACCCAAACCCGAATCTGCACCCGAAACCGCACCCGAACCCGAATCTGAACCCGAACCTTCCCTCCGTTGAAGAAAAGAGCGCTAAACCTCCGAACCCTAAGCCCTAAACCCTAAACCCTAAACCCTGAACCCAAAGCCCTACACCCAATACTGACCCCGCCCCCCTCCCCGATCCCCCGAACCCGAAGCCGAACCCGGACCGAGTGCGGTTCGGGTTCGAGGGCAGGCGCGGGACTTCATAGAACCAGGTACCCATTAATCCCTGAAAGCTCAGAGGCACCCGAATTCCCTGATTCGCCTCTACGCCCTCAGGCTAGCACTCTGAAACCGCACTCCGGAACAACCAAAACTCTGCAGGATCATCCGAAGGCTTGGGGGTTTTGCTGGTTTTCGGGTTTAGGGTTTAGGGTTTGGGGTTTAGGGTTTAGTGTCTAGGGCCCACACCCCTAATTAAGCATGATGCTTCATAACCCCATGCCAAGAGGCCCGAAGATCCACTCGTAGTGCTCGCGGCCGCCACGGCATCCGGCCGCCCAAGCGCCTCGAAGAACTTCTTGAGCATTTTGAGGGTTTTGGGGAGTTTAGGGTTTAGGGTTCAGGGTTCAGCTTTGCTAGCTGCTAGAGTTCCCTTAGCATGTTTTTGCGTTTTTGGTGCTCGTTGGACAACCCACAGCAATGTTGAACATGTTTTACGAGAGGCGAAGTGACTCTGAAATAGTCTGTTTGGGGGTATGTAGGGGGTAGTTCGTATGGAGGTAAGTAGTGTATGGGCCTTAAACCGTCTTTTCGAAACCCGAAACCCTACGCCCTAAACTGGAAACCCTTAAAACAAGCTCAGGGCTCAGGATTCAGGGTTTGAGGTTTAGGGCTCGCTGGACCCCGCGCCCCTCCAAGGTAGAGGGCTTGGGCTTCGGGGCTTTGGGATTTGGGGTTTCCCTTCCACTACAATGGCCTAATGCAAAGGTCTATAGGGTTGAGGATCCAAACGCTGGACACACCGGAGTCATGCCCTTACCCGCTAGATTGCAGCCGCATGCACAATTAAATCCCCTAAGCCCTACTAAACCCCAAACCCCAAACCCCAAACCCCAAACCCCAAACCCCAAACCCCAAACCCCAAACCCCAAACCCCAAACCCCAAACCCCAAACCCCAAACCCCAAACCCCAAACCCCAAACCCTAAACCCTAAACCCTAAACCCTAAACCCTAAACCCTAAACCCCACGATTCTGAAGCTGAAGTTGATAACCCGAGCCTCATCCCTACACATTCGAGGCTGGGACGAGCTGGCTCGAGCTGCAGACCTGGCAGCAGGCCGCAAACCTGAATCCTACTTCACTGTAGCCCAAAACCTACCGGTTTAGGGTTTAGGGTTTAGGGTTTAGGGTTTAGGGTTTAGGGTTTAGGGTTTAGGGTTTAGGGTTTAGGGTTTAGGGTTTAGGGTTTAGGGTTTAGGGTTCAGGGTTCAGGGTTTAGGGTTTAGGGTTTAGGGTTTGGGGCTTCCTTATACATTTCCTTAGAAAGGGAGATTTCTTGGCATACCTTGACCCTAAGGCGTCCAAGCTGCTATACCCCAACCCTAAACCCTAAACCCTAGAGCCTAAACCCTAGACCCTAAACCCTAAACCCTAGACCCTAGACCCTAGACCCTAAGCAAAATTTAAACCCTAAACCCTAAACCCTAAACCCTCAACCCTCAACCCTAAACCCTAAACCCTAAACCCTAAACCCTAAACCCTAAACCCTAAACCCTAAACCCTAAACCCTAAACCCTAAACCCTAAACCCTAAACCCTAAACCCTAAACCCTATACCCCTAAACCCTAAACCCCTAAACCCTAAACCCTAAACCCTAAACCCTAAACCCTAAACCCTAAACCCTAAACCCTAAACCCTAAACCCTAAACCCTAAACCCTAACCCTAGGCCCTTCTTTTCTCTGTCGCCCAGGCGCGCCGCTGGCGGAGCGCGCGCCGAGGGTCAGTGAGAACCCTGCGGCACTGTTCCAGGCGGGTTGGGGTGTCGGTTTGAGGGTTGAGGGTTTAGGGTTTGCAGAAGCCTCCAAAAAGTTGGAAAGTCTGATCCTCATACCCCAAAAGGTACACTGAAGGGAATCTCACCTCGAATCAGCCCCAAACCATGTTCCAACTTTCTGGAGTTTACTGTAGGGCTTAGGGCTTAGGGTTGAACACTGCTGACAACGGTCAGCTGGCTCGACCCTAAACCCTAAACCCTAAACCCTAAACCCTAAACCCTAAACCCTAAACCCTAAACCCTAAACCCTAAACCCTAAACCCTAAACCCTAAACCCTAAACCCTAAACCCTCCAGAACACTAAGCAAGCGAACACACTAGAACATGCAGCTAGGGCTCCGCCGGGCCTTCGGCCTATCCGGCCCCCCCCACCGCTTCTTCCGCCCCCAAAATCTGCCAGAAGCTATGCACCCCTACACCCCCCAGGCAAGACTGGGGGCTTGAGAGTGTAGGCCCGAACCGCTGCCCTGGACTCTAAACCCTAAACCCTAAACCCTAAACCCTAAACCCTAAACCCTAAACCCTAAACCCTAAACCCTAAACCCTAACCCCGCCTGTCACCCTCAACATTGGAGACCCTGCGCCCCGAAGCCAGACCTTCGCTTGAAGATTGAAGAGACTTCATGGTGCCATCTTCGAAGGGTACCCTAAACCCCTAAACCCCCTAAGTCCGGAACCCGACGTCCTAAACCCTAAATTTATTCTTTAACCCCCAAACCCCAAACCTTCAAACCTTAAACCCTAGACCCTAAACTGAACTCCTAAACCCTTCACCCAACTGCTTTGCTGTAGGTCATGAAACGATGGGTGCCTTCGTGGCTTTTTTAGGAGGGGAACCGTAGGGAAGCTTAGGGTCAGGGTCCTTCAGGAAGGGTTTAGGATTTAGGCTTTAGTGTTTTAGGGGTTTAGGGTTTACGACTTAGGGTTCAGGGTTCAGGGTTTTAGGGTTCATGGGGGGGGGGGGGGGGGGGGGGGACCTTAGGGAAGCTTCGGGTTCCTTAGGGAGTCGTGGGGTGGGGGAGTAGTGGGGGCACCTTGGGTTACATACACCCCGTGAACCACCCTCCCTTAAGGATCCCAAAATGGTTTTGGACTGCTTTTGAGGTCTACCTGTCCTTCAAGGGCCTGCTGAACCAAAGGGGCCCACAGGCAGGTCAAAGGGTCATCCGGGGTTCGAACATTTTCGGGGCTTAGGGTTTGGGGTTTGGGGTTTAGGGCTCAAGGCTTTTCCGTTTATCATTATGGTATTCAGGGCGAAGGGCGTGGGTTTCCAGGACGCTGCGGTTTTGGATATGGTTTAGAGGATATTTAGGGTTGCGTTGAGGGCTAGTATTGTTAGCTTATGCCGGTGATCGGTGTATATAGGGTTTAGGGCATGTAGCGCTGATGTCTTGCTTAATTACGCACTGTATGATCTACTTGGGGGCTTGCCTTTGGGCAGGTTGCTGGCTACCAACTGACTTTTTTTCGAGGTATGGTTAGGGCTTATGGGTACCTAGTAGTGGGCCTCTGGCCCCAGGTGATGGTATTGCAGTTGCTGACGGTATTAACACAGTACACCCTAAACCATTAACATCACTCTTGTTCTTGATTCAGGTGGCCTAAGTAAAGCTTTCAACTCCTGAATCTTCGACCCACCAGCCCTTCGACCGCTAGCCCAAGGCGATCGACACCCCTAAATGAACCCTGAACTCTAACGGTTAGGGTTTAGGGTTAGGGTTTAGGGTTTAGGGTTCAGGGTTCAGGGTTTAGGGTTCAGGGTTTTTGGTGTCAGGGGGAACTCCTAATCCTGAAGCCCTGAACTCTCATCACCGTTCGTAGGCTGCCAAGCGCCTGGCGAACCTGGCCAAAGCATTGGCGCCGTACCTCGAGGCCAGTGGGCTTCGCGCTGGGGGGGGTTTTCACTTTAGGGCTTCGGGGAAATCATTTGGATGGTCGGCTCGGAGTCTGCCAAGGTATCCTGGCATTGGAGCACGCTTGGTCTGAAGACGCAAGTACATTCGATCACGCGCATAGGATATGGGGGTTGAGGGTTCCGTGCGTCAGTCCCAATGCCGTACAGTACCCCATTGTAGACCTTTGGAAAAAGTATCCCAAACAGCACCCATCCTGAGCCCTAAGCCCTAAATCCTAACCCTAAACCCTAAACCCTAAACCTCGAACCGAAAACCTTAAACGCTAAACCCCAAACCCGAATTGACAGAGCCTCCTATACGATGCGGTGCTCTAAGCTCTATCAGAGTCGATATGCCTGGGCCTCTTACAGTTCAAACAGTACCCCATTGAAACAATCATGTCTGTACTTCTAACCCGCTTTAAGGCCATTAATATGGTTATGAAGTTAGGACTGGTTTATAAGATGTCTGTACTTATAACCTACTTTTCAGCCCCTTACGTGCCCGAATGTGGCCATGATTGGTTGGCCCAGTTCTGTCTGTACTTTACGCCTACTTTTAGCCGAATCTGGCTATCGTTGGTTTGTAAGATGTCTGAACTTATATAAGCCACTTCTAAGCCCCTTTGATGTCCGAATATTGGCTATGAATGAGTTCCAAGTGCAGTTATCGTCGGGTAGTTCATAAGTACCATACCTCCACCCTAAACCCTAAACCCTAAACCCTAAACGCTAAACCCTAAACCCTAAACCCTAAACCCTAAACCCTAAACCCTAAACCCTAAACCCTAAACCCTAAACCCTAAACCCTAAACCCTAAACCCTAAACCCTAAACCCTAAACCCTAAACCATAACCTCTCAGGGTTCCTGCTGTCCCCAAGGCAACTTACAACAGCTTCGACCTCTGCGACATCGCTGGATGGCTCAAGGCGCCTTCTGCGAGCCTCAAGTCTGGAAACCCTAAACCCTAAACCCTAAACCCTGAACCCTGAACCCTGAACCCTAAACAATAAAACCCTAAACCCTAAACCCTAAACCGTAAACCCTAAACCCTAAACCCTAAACCCTAAACCCTAAACCCTAAACCCTAAACCCTAAACCCTAAACTCTAAACCCTAAACCCTAAACCCTAAACCCTAAACCCTAAACCCTAAACCCTAAACCACAACCTAGACCTTACGAACTCGAGACCCTGCAGCCTAGAATCCGCCATGAAGAGCCCATTTGACACGTGTAGGGGCTTGTGAAAGCCTAGGCCCCAGAGCAGTCGGGTTTAGGGATTAGAAGGTTCCCCTGTTTGGGTCGGGGGAGGGCGGTTCCTGTAAGGCTTTTCGTATTGCGGTATATGACTGGGTAGCCTATTTTGTCTTATAGGGCTTAGGGCCTAGTTGGGCGGGCTTAGGCCTTAGGCCTTAGGCCTAGGGCTTAGGGCTTCGGGCATAGGGCTTCGGGCTCAGGGCTTAGATAGGCAGGCTTTGGGGCTCAGGGCCTGCCCAGCTCTGAGCTGCAGGACTGGGGAGAAACGGCCCTGGCGCGCAAGCTCTGGCGTCGCGCGGCGCGCGGCGGCCTGAGATCAGAAGCCGTGATGTGCCACTGTGGGCTTCAAGGTTGAGGGTTTGGGGTTTAGGGTTTGGGGTTTAGGGTTTGGGGTTGGGGGTTCGGGGTTTGGGGTTCCGGGTTCCGGGTTTAGGTGTTACTTGGAGGTTCTTGGTACCTATTAACCGAATAGTAATTGCACTTATAACCCAAATAAAAAACCATATTAGGGCAGTTAAGGAGCATATAGTGGATGGTGAGTACAGTTAGGATTGGTGATTAAGTACCATGAACCTCCAAGAAGGGTTTCGGGTTGCATAAGGGGGCCTTCAAGCACGTACATCCTAGACACCGTAAGTTACCCCAAAATGCCCCGAAATACCCCTGAATACCTTATCCTAAACCCTTCTACTGTCTAGATCCTTTCAGGGGTCTGGGCGGGGATCGTTCGGGATATGGGTGCACGTATCAGCCGGGGTAACCTTGAACCTCTACTAAATTTAAAGTGCTGAGTGTTTGGGTTGCAGCGCAATCCCTACTCATCTCCCAATAGGTGGCCCTTTGGTTTTCGTAGGAACCGGGGCTTGTCGTCGAACCCTAAACTGGTTCAGGATCTTGGCTGGAGGGTTTCAGGGTGTTGGGATACTCAAGCGAGTCATACTCGGACCCCGATGGATGCAGCCCTAAGGCGTGCCCTTAAATATACTGCGAATATGTTCCTTACATTCTCTGAGAGGATCTTGAAAAAGGGTCCTGAGCAAAAGGGTTTAGGGTTTAGGGTTTAGGGTTCGGGGTTTAGGGTTTAGGGTTTAGGGTCCAAGGTAAGTCCCACGAGATACACGCTTCAGATGCCAACCCCCTCGTTCTGCGGGAATCAGTGACCCTACGAAAGCCCTTAAAGGGTACAAATGTCCGGGGCATGTAGGGCACCCTACTTAATCCCTTAAAGGGTATACTTGTCGGGGGGATATAGGGCACCCTACTTAATCCCTTAAAGGGTATACAGGTCGGGGGGATAGAGGGTTGAGGAAAGTTCCGAGGATAGTGAGAGCGCTTGATGGCTTTTGGATCCGCCGGCGGCAGGCGAGGGAGAGCCACAGGAAACAGCGGCCGCAGCTCGAAGACTTACTGTTGGTGAGTAGGGAATGAGGGAATGAGGTACCCTATACTTTCTGAGTATATACCCTTTAGGTTTAGAGATTCTATGGGGTACTTCATTCCTCAAGTCCTACTAACCAACAGTAAGAAGAGCACTAGCCAAGCCAAGAAGCTGAAGTAGCTGGAAGTGATTCTGATGATTCCGCGCGGCTTACAAAGTTGACCAGAGCCGATCGCAACCCTACACAACCCCTTACAGGGGATAAAATGTAGGGGGAGAGAGGGTGCCTCATTCCCTTCCCAGCCATGAATCTAGGCCCCTACCGACAAACATAAGGTTCGCAGCTGATTGCTGTTCACACCCATGTCGGCTGAACTGAAGGGTTTAGGCTGAAGGGTTTAGGGTTTAGGGTTTAGGGTTCAGGGTTCAGGGTTTATTAGGGACGCACTCTATGTTTTGGAGGTGACCCTTTCGACGCCTGCGTGAGAGAGGACTGGGAGAAGTGGGAGGCTGGATGGGGAACCCCTCAAACTGGCAAACCTCACAACCGCAAGCTCGGCCGAAGCCGTGCATCATTCACTCTAGGGAATTGGGGAAGTAGGTAGCCTACAGAACCCCTTCAAGATCATATACCGGGGAATATACCTAATTCCCTACTAAGAACCAGCAAGACTCCTCAAGCCGAAGCCCAAAGCCCCATACATCTTGGCCGAAATGACCTACTCGACCAGTCGCCCCTGGCTTCGCAATGCTAGTGTGCGGTTTCGAGGGATCATTTGTGGGTGGAAGCAGGAGGTTAGAGTTTAAGGTTTATGCTTTGAGGGGACATGTTACCCCCCCTCCCTACTAGCTACTGCCCGCCAAGATTCCTCAACCCGATTTTCATCGTGTCAGATGCTTCTTGCTTCTTTTGGGGCAGGGGGAGGGGAGGCCTTTTTTTCTTTGGGGGGCGGGGGGGGGGGGGGGGGGGGGGGGGGGGGGGGGGGGGGGGGGTAGGAGATTCCGAAGCCCTACGCCTGTCAGCCGTTACAGAGACAACGGCCCTGATGATGGTGGGAGTTGTGCTAGCTGTGGGGGCGCTAACCTAAACACGTAACCCTAGACCCTGAGCCCTGAATCCTAAACCCTAAACCCTAAACCCTAAACCCTAAACCCTAAACCCTAAACCCTACATGGGCTAGGATCTCAAGGTTCAGGGTTTACCGTGAACGTACTCAGCCCAAGAGTTGAGCTTCAAACCTACCCAGCACTCCCGTATGACGAAACACTACCCAAGCCTGGTCTTTTTAGGGTTTAGGGTTTAGGGTTTAGGGTTTAGGGTTTAGCGTTTAGGGTTTAGGGTTTAGGGTTTATTGGGGTTTATTGGGGTTTATTTGGGTGTATTAGGGTTTATTAGGGTTTATTAGGGTTTATTAGGGTATATTAGGGTTTAGGGTTTAGGGTTTAGGGTTTGGGGGATCATGATATTTTAGGGTTTAGGGAAGCACCATACACCCAAGGTCTAGGCTCCAAGCTTTCGATCTTCTCGTTGCTGGAGAGAGAGAAGTCGGGGCTTCATGGGATGGCTAGCAGAAGAGTATGTGAGGAGTCCACTGAGTTATCCCTGGATTCTCGATCAGTGTTAGGGATCCTTTTTACTTTTTGGGTTATGGGCTTTCTTATATATGAACGAAAAGGATCCTTTTTTCTTCCTAGGGGAACAGGGATTAAGTATTCGTCATATGAGGGGCATGTGTGGGTTTTTTGAGTGGGTCGTGGGTGGGGAGGAGGGAGGGGGGTGGGGGGGGGGGGGGGGGGGGGGGGGGGGGGGGGGGGGGGGGGGGGGGGGCATCGTCCCAAAGCCAAGAACTCACCCCAAAAAGACTTTCTGTTAGAGGGTTTCGGTCCTCTGCTTGAATATAACTCTCGCTGCCCTCCTTCTGACCCCAGCTGCATCGCGAGAACAATGCCACGTCACCCCGAAACCATAAGCCCTAAACCCGAGACTCTAAACCCTCCAAGTAGGGTTTAGGGCGGCAAGGCCTAAACATTCTTCGGAGCTTCTGCCCTAATTCTCTTGCAAACTTCAGGGTTTAGGGTTTACGGTTCAGGGCCTGTGTGTGTTGTTTTTTCGATAACTTAGACCCTTCAAGCCTGTAACCCCAAAACCCTAAACCCCCCCTTGAATTCTTGCTCCTTACCGAGCCTTTGCCAGGGCTCGCCACCCACCACCTTCGAGATTTGGCGGGCCTTCTTCCGGCTTCAAGTGGAGCCGCAGACGCGGGAAAAGTGGCCCTCTGTGTTCCTCGGGTTTCGGGTTTTAGGTTCAGGGCTTACTTAGGGCCCGAAGCCCCTTAAACCCTAAGCTTCGTTCCTTGAAGGTTCATGAGACCTACTGGGTGGCTAAGGCAGAGTACCCGACATGTTGAGAAAGTGACCAGATGCGGCTGGCCGTAATGCGCAACAGTGGGGTGATGGCAGTTTGCCCTAAACCCTAAACCCTAAACCCTAAACCCTAAACCCTAAACATGTACTCGAGGGCTGAGGGTGTCGGGCATCTGGAAAGGCGAATCTAAAAGCTGATGGATAAGGGTTTAGGGTTGAAATTAAGTAGACCCACAAGGACGAGTTTCCAAAGAGTAGTGTAGGGTTTAAGGGTCCATTCTCACTTTACAGCCCATCAAGATGTGTAGCATATCGGGAAATTTCCTCCTTAAGCCCTAAACCCTGTAGCTCCTAAACCCACAACCATGAATCCACGCCCTCAGCTTCTGAAGGATGTTCCATCTGTGGTAGCAGTCTTTTGGGGTTCATGTGCTTCAAAATGGGGTGTTATGGGGCTTCTATGCAGGGGCACTTCAACCTTTGTGGGTGCGGCAACCCTTCAGCTGGAAGTCCCCAACAAACACCCCCCCCCCCCCCGTCTTTCACGTAACGCAAAGAGAAGAGCAGCCTAAACCCTAAGCCCCAAACCCTGAACCCTAACCCCTACACCTAAACCCTAAGCCCCCAACCCTGAACCCTAACCCCTACACCCTAGCCCTAAACCCTCAACCCAAAACCCTCAACCCAGTCCTGTTTGCAGGCGGTGGTTGGGGCACCACTGTCCGAGTGGAGTCAGGCTAGAATTGCGGGTCGGACCCTACAACCCCCGACAAAGCCTGTACGGGTAGCGGGGTGCCTAGGACCCACAGTCCTTCTAGAGGCCCCTTCAACTCCAAGCTTCCTGGGCTATGCTTGGGTCTGGCCCTAAACCCTAAACCCTAAACCCTAAACCCTAAACCCTAATCCCTAAACCCTAAACCCTAAACCCTAAACCCTAAACCCTTGGGTCTATGTTCAGTGCTTAGTGGCTTTACGGCTTCAGGGCATTCAGGCCGTGAGGGTGCCACGGAATTCTGGGATTCAGGGCTCAATGCAAAATCCGAAATGGCTTAGGGTTTAGGGTTTAGGGAACATTCCCTGTCTAGGACAGAAGCTGCGCTCCCCCCAGGAACACCCATCACACGGCCCGAAACCCAAAGCGCACAAAGCCTGAACCCTAAACCCTAAACCCTCGACCTTGGGTTGCCAGTCCGACTAGGACATATTTCAGTGTTTTGGGTTAAGGGTTTAGGGTTTAGGGTTTGGGTTTTAGGGTTTAGGGTTTAGGGTTTCGGGTTTTGGGGTTGGTTCTAGGTGTAGTTCATGGCTTCCAGAAGAGTAGACATGGAAGCTTTCCGGAGGAGTATCCCCCCAGCGTTTAACGATGCCCAGTTGCAGATTCATCGCACAGTCATCCATCGATAGGACCTGCTCCGGCATCTCCAGAAAGAGCGGGTGGACGTGCACAAGGCCACCGACAAGACCTACAGCAAGAAGGTCACGTACTATTGTCTGGCATGTGTGAAACAACAGGAGGGCTTGGCGCTCCTGGGCAAGGAGCCTGCGCAGCCTGCACAGGATGCGCAGGCAGATAGGCAACACGGCATGAAGACGGAGGCAACGTCTGAACGCGGTGCATGTGATGCCGTCGTGTTAGCCGGGGGCAGCATCGGAGCCTATCCGTCGAGAAGCCCAACACCCCAGTTGCATTAGAGAGGGCCTGCGAACTTACTTCCAAGCGGCATGTCCCGGGCTTGTAGCCGGGCATAGAGGTAGAGAAAGCATGTGTTCGAAGTGGTATGAAAACCTTTGCTTCGGATACCTACTCACCACACGAGTAGAACTTCCATGAGACCTCCAATTTATTGCGCTCAGGGCCCAACGTGCCTCCAGAGTCGAAGCTCAGGTTTTAGAGTTTATGCTGTTGGAGGGTTTAGAGGCTTCTGTTACTGCATGATTATGGCACGATGATATGATTCCTATACCATTATGTCAATACATGTGTTCTTATGTCATTATATTACGATATTCCTCCAGTACTGTACTTTTTATATAGCGTTTGGAGTCAAGTCGGGGGTTTTAGCGTTGGGGTGGGGGTCTCCTGCCTCGATTCAGGCAGGGCTGGTCCTGGGCATCGTGCGGCCGGCGGCATTTGACGTAGCCCTAAACCCTAAACCCTAAACCCTAAACCCTAAACCCTAAACCCTAAACCCTAAACCCTAAACCCTAAACCCTAAGCCGTGTTCGCCTTCATCTCCGGGTTTGCCCAAGTCAGGTGTTCCTTTTCCGTACTCCTGTGGAATTCCTACCCTACGATAAGGGTTCTAGTTTTTGGTATGCGCGCTTTACGCCGCCGTGGAGGGTTTGCGAATATCGAAGAATGGGGTAGGGGGGGGGGGGGGGGGGGGAGGGTAATTACGTGCAGAAAGGCCGAAAATTATGGTATTTACTGTGTTTTCTGCACGGCTCCACTGGTGCTGCGTGTTGGGTTTCACGGTTGTTTGTCGGTCGAATGTGGGCGTTTACCTGTGTTTTTGCGTGTCAAGCAAGCCCAAAGCCCTCAACTTCAACCTAAAAGAGTGCAAGCCCAAAGCCCTCAACCTCAACCTGAAAAGCTGCAAGCACGCGACCCTGGATCTGAGCCTTCAAACCCGTACCTCCCAGCCCTCAACCCAAACAGTCCTTCGACTTAAAGGTGTGCGAGGGTTTAGGGACCTCTGACATAACCCTTTCGAAGTCTTCACCTCAACCCGCCCAACACAAAGCAGCGCAAGCCCGAAACCCTCAACCTGAACCTTGAAGTCCAAGCCCAACCCGCCCCAACACAAAGCAGTGCAAGGCCAGGGCCCCAAAGACCTGAACCTTCAACTTTACCTCTGTGATCCCCGAAAAAAGACAGAAAAAAATCAACTTTTGGTTTTCTACATTTGCGCCGCGCCCTCGCCTTGCGCACGCACGGGACTGAAAATCGACAATGTTGCCAATGCTGCGAAACCCCACGCAGGCCGATGAATTTCTGCTTTTTGCAAGCGGATGTTCTCTGTTCAAGCAGGTGATACCTTTAACCCGCTACGTGTAAAGAATGCCTCTTAACCCACGCCTGCCACACTTTTCGAGGCATGCCAATTTTAGCCTTTTGCATGCAAAGTCTCGAATTCACTGCGCCTGCCAGTGCTTTCAGTACTTCTGCATTCATCAGTGCTGGACGTCCTCCAAACGCAATCACCAGACCTTCTACGGCGGCGAGAAGCGCGCGTACCTAGTTTTTGGGTAAGGGGCAACCCTGTTGACTGTTCTTGGAGCATGTCCATGCATCAAACTAGTCAAACTAATCCTTGTATCTCGGAGTACCTAACAAGGCCTGAACCTAGCCCGGCCTTTGCATGATGGTCTGGCGTGGCAAAGAAGTTTGAGGGGCAGCGCTTCATGCAGGTTAGGGGGGGAGTTTTAGGGTCAGGGTCAACTACATCCGGGTTTAGGGTTTAGGGCTTAGGGTTTAGGGTTTAGAGTTGTAGCACTTCAGCAGGATGCTGTAATTGGGATTCTATCTTCCAGAGCCTTCTGGGGGTCTGGCTAGCCCTAAACACCCAAACCCTAAAACCCAAAGAAAACCGCAAAAACCCTAACAACCCTAAAAACCCTAAAGACCCTAAACGCCCTACAAACCCGAAAGACCCTGAACCCTCTAAAAACCCTAAAACCCCTAAAAACCCTAAACTCTAAACCCTAAATCCTAAACCCCTCTTCCCTTCTTCGCGCCAGGCTATGTCCTTCGTCTTCACGGCCAACACGCCCCCTTGGCTGGACTAGAGTTGGGGTGTGGGCTTTCGGAGGGTGGCTTACGAAAATGTGGGGGTTTAGGGGTTAAATAGTAGGGTTCCTTTATAATAAGGACCGCAATAAGACACCCCTAACTTCGAAAACCCCTTTATGGGTTAGGGTTTATGGGGTTGAGGGTTGTGAGGTCGTCTACTGCTACACCTACCATTTTCACCACTACTACCACTTCTACCACTACCACCACCACTACCACTACCGCCACCACCAACACCATGACCACCACTACCGCCACCACCAGCACCATGACCACCACCAGGACCAACCACCACCACCCACCACCCACCACCACCCACGACCACGACCACGACCACGACCCCGACCACGACCCCGACCCCGACCACTACCACTATCACTACCACCATTACTTCTGCTAAACCTTCAGTCGAGCATATTCAGCCTACAGTGGGTGCTGTGGTCATTTTGCTTGGACCGGCTGAAGCCCTTATCGCGCAAACCCAAAGCCCGCTGAGCCTGAACCTTAGGCCTACCGACGCACCCTTCCCTGGAGCTCGAAAAAATCGAGAGCCCTAGAAGCCCTGGGAGGATGAGCCCTGGAACCCCCAATTCAGCACCTAGAAATAGCTTCTAGGACACCTGAATCCCTAAACCCTAGAACCCCAATTCAGGCATGAGAGGATGATATGTTTCAGAATATTCTTTGCAGGGCTCAACGAAATTGTCAGGGGACCCTAAGCCCTGAACCCTAAACTCTGAACCCTGAAAACCTGAAACGGAACCTAAACACCCATCCTCACTTGTTTGAGTAAGGACCATGAGTTGCCTCGAGACGTCCAAGTCCTTCATGCGCTTCTGCAAGGACTCGATTCAAAGATTTGTGTGGGGCCTTGTTTTAGGGTTTAGGCTTAAGGGTTTCGGGTTGAGGGCTAAGCCCCAAACCTTACATAAACCCTTGAACCCTGAGCCCGTTTGCAAAGGCATTTTGATGCGAAATCCGAAAGGGCTTTGCGTGCTTGTAGACTTCTGAAGGAGGCGTGTTCCAGAAGGTTCATGAAGGATCCTGGGGCTTCTCAGCTGGTTATCTCAGAGGCTTAGGGTTTCGGGTTTCGGGTTTAGGGTTTAGGGTTTAGGGTTTAGGGTTTATGGTGTTTTATAACCCTTCTGAACCCTATACCCTGAACCCTAAGCCCTTTTCATGGGACTCCCAGAATGGAACCCCCCATTAGTGGAAGCACCAGAACCTTCCACCCCAAGCCCCCCACGCCCCCTAAGCCCTAAACCTTTAACCTTTAAGCCCTTAAGCCCTTAAACCCTAAACCCTTAAACCCTAAACCCTTAACTCCTTAAACCCTGAACCCTAAACTCCTTAACTCCTTAACCCTTAAACCCTTAACTCCTTAACCCTTAAACCCTAAACCCTTACCTCCTTAACTCCTTAACTCCTTACCCGTTAAACCCTAAACTTCGACCCCACCCAGGAGACACAAGAGGTGGAGAAGCAGGCGGCCTTGCCATTTCCGTCCTCGCACCGTGACTTCAAGTTTAGGGTTCAGGATTGGGGCACAGGGTTTAGTTTAGGGTTTGGGGTTTAGGGTTTAGGGTTTAGGGGTTAGGGTTTAGGGGTTAGGGTTTAAGGGTTTAGGGTTTAGGGTTTTGGGTTCCCCGTTCTCTCCGGCTTGGTGTTTCGTAGTCAAGTAGTGTTTTTTCGGCTGGGGCACTGGATGCGTAGTTTGGGAGTTCGGATGTTCCAGGGAGTTGCTGGTTGTAAGGATGCGCTATAGGGTTTAGAGTGTTTATTGGGTTTATAGGGTTGAAGGCCTGCACCACCAAGGCATTACAAGGCTTTAAAGGTCTTGTCCTCCTACGGCACGATCACGTCGATGCGCATGGTGGCCTGGCTGCATGTTCTTCATCCTACTGGATTAGGGTTTGGGGTTTAGGGTTTAGGGTTTAGGGTTTAGGGTTTAGGGTTTAGGGTTTAGGGTTTAGGGTTTAGGGTTTAGGGTTTAGGGTTTAGGGTTTAGGGTTCTTTGAACCTCATCCAGGGATTAGGGTTTAGGGTTTAGGGTTCAGCATTAAAGCCCTAAAGCATGGTTTGCTTACAGGTTCTTCCTAGGGAATTAGGTACCTTACATCCCCTACGTAGACCTTCTAAGGGACTACCATGTAGCCTACCTCATTTCCTCACTCCCCTGCTAAGAAGCCATAAGTCCCCTAAACCCTAAACCCTAAACCCTAAACCCTAAACCCTAAACCCTCAACCCTAGCAAACCCTGCCTACATCCTAAACCCCAAGTGGTGTGTGGCACTGGAATCGCGGTGGGATTGTGGCTCGCTGAGTTCTGCTTTCCACTTCTGAAATGCCTGCAACAGATACTTGAAACCCTAAACCCTAAACCCTAAACCCTAAACCCTAAACCCTGTAGCCAGAGCAGGCCCTAAGTCCCCTGGTTTCAAGGGTACAGGTTCCCTTGCAATCCCCTTTTACGCCAAAGAGGCCTAGATACTAGGAGCGAGGGTGGGGCCTGATTTCCATTTTGTTAAGGTTTTCTAGGTTCCTTTGTAACCATTGTTTAAGCCAAAAAGCGGCACTTTTGATTCCTAGCTTACTCTTGGGCCTAGCTTCGGAAATGCCTGCAACAGATATGTCAGTGGCCTGACTCTCAAGTTCTCCACTTGCCCCGGAACCCTCCAGACTTTATAAAACCTAAAACTCCTACACACGCCCTATACTATACGCCCTCAACCTAAACCCCTACACTCCTACACCCTCAGACCCTAAACCCTACACCCTCAGACCCTAAACCCTAAACCCTGCACCCTAAACCCTAAACCCTGTAAACCCAAAACCTCCCCTTGCCCTGAAAGCAACGCGAGTCCAGGTCTTCAACCCTCTCATCAACACCCTGGCCTGC